TAAGGAATATTAAATAAGAAAATTTAATAATGGAAATTATATAAATGGAATGATTTAAAGATTTTAATATTTTATAATATTAAAAATTGATTTTTTTTATTCAATRAAGCTGGAAACATTCATGAAGATTTTATCTTGTTATGTAATGAATGAATGATTTGAGGTTCATTGTATCAAAAATTACCGGTTATGAACCTGTTTCATATGAAAAGGTTTTAAAATGAAAAGGTTTCATATTACCATAGCATAATATATTAATGTTCATATGAAAAAGTTTCATTACGAAGAAACGGTTGCATATTTATTAAATGCATAATGAAAAGGTTTCATAATGATGAATCATGTTCATAATGAAGCTGTTTCATAATGAAAAGGTTCATATGGGGCAAATTTCATGAAACTGTTTCATAATGAAAAGGTTCATATGGGGCAAATTTCATGAAACTGTTTCATAATGAAAATGTTCATAATGATGAAGCATGTTCATGATCTAATACTCTAGGCATATTGTCCAAATTAATACTCTATGCATATTATCCACTTTAATGAAAAGGTTTCATGAAACTGTTTCATAATGAAAAGGTTCATAATGATGAATCATGTTCATATAAGTGGAATAAGAAAAATGAACTATTGATGCAACGATTTCATCAAACGTTTCAAAACAGTTGAAAAATCGAAATAATATAATCTCTCTATTTCCTAATGAAAATATTGTAATGAATAGTTTCATAAACAAAGTTCAAAAAACAATGGTCATGAAWYTGTTTCAATGTGAAAATGTTTCATTGTAAAATGGTTTATTTGCTCCATCTATGCATATTATACGTGTGAATGAAATATGTGCTTTGTGATTGAAGTTTCATGGTTATTCTTGTTGCTTTGTGATTGAATGTACATCTAGGTTCATGATGATCCATGTTGCTTTGTGATTGAAGTTGATCCGTTTAGTTGGTAGGATGAAAATGAAATAGGTGCATAATGTATTGTGTTCTTTTATGAAATAAATATATGATGAAACGGTGCATGTTATATTTTGTTCTTTATGGAATTAATGCTAATGTGAAAAGGTTTCATTATAAAATGGTTCATTGATGTTATATTAATGTTAACTTTTGTTTATGGAATTAATGTTATATTGATGTTAACTTTTGTTTATGGAATTAATGTTATATTGATGTTAAGTTTTGTTTACCAATTTGCCCTTATTATTGAAATAAAATAATTTTTTAATATTTTTTATTTATTAATTTCCTAAAATAAAGTAAACTAATCTTAGCCATTGATCAAGAAAATGGACGGATGAGATTGGTTTACACGGTTTACACAAATTGGGCAAGTTTTTATTTGAACGCTCATATATATATATATATATATATATATATATGTACTGTAACATCTCATTTAAGAAACCCTAAGTTACCAATTTTATAAAATCTCTAATAAAATAAAATTAATTGATTAACTTCAAAATAAAAAGATATTAATTTTCTAGAAAAACTTCGAAATATGCGTTCTATTTTAGTGATAAAACCACCCAAAACACTATTTCAAACCGGACATAACGGATTTTAATTACAACCCGAATTTAGTAGCAAAAAAATTACGGGACATACTTATAACTGGAACAAGACTATGCACAAGCTACACTTACTACATCTATAAGATACGGTAATAAACTACTATTTTACCAAAAAGCAAGTTCGTAAACTTCAAATCCCCCAATAAATCTTCAAGTCAAACAACAGGTTCTTTCTTTTTATATGTCTTCTTTCCTGAGAGGGGTTGACACTTAAATGGTAAGCCAACACTTAGTGAGTTAGATAGTTAAGTATTACATATCAATATCGCACATGTTAAAAAACATACATAATAAACTCTTATCAATAAAAGAGTTTAAGACATCATCTAAATACAAACTGAGACTTACAAGAAACCGAATGAACAATTACGTATAGGATGTTAAGATCATAGAATTCCATATTCAAATCACTATAATATACCATAACATTGATGCTCAATACAACAAGGAAACAAGATCAATAACCAAATATATTCAACAACGTTAGAATACCAACAAATATCAAGAACCAAGAGATCGAATCGGTAAACATAACGAGGACAGTGCATCACCCYGTCCTTCACCTTCTGGGCTCATGCCAAAGTCCGAGTCAGAATCGTACATTACGGGAAACCTCGCACTGCCTGCCTTCCTCTACCGGGTATGTGCCAAGGTTCCCTACTTATTGCTCTTCCTCCATTTTGAGCAATGAGTATTCACAATCGCAGAAAGTCTCACTCGTCCAACCCAGGATCTTGTAATAGTCCCTACAATGATCAATCTTCAATAAACTCTAACAATCCATGGCAATCTATGAAGAACATTAAGAACTCTTGAATGAATGTAGAGAGAGAAGTCAAAGTATCCAAACTTGGTCAATGCTTTATTATACGTAATCTGATTTTACAATAAGGCTCCTACCCAAAATTACAAGGAATTACCCTTTATATAGGGTCAAACATGACACAAATAGTCAAAGTCAAACTATTTATGAAAAGTCAAACACGGTGACTTTTAATACATATATAGACAGAATTAACTTTCAAGATGAATACAATTTTACACTAAATTTCATTCCTAACATTCTCCCCCTTTGTATTCAGACTTGAAAGAATTTGTGCGCTTTAAGTCTTGTTTGAACTTTGATGCTTTAAGCACTCTATGACTTTTTCAAAACAATCTTCAACTCGAAATCTTCAGACAATCATTTGTTTGAGAAAAAATCTTCTAACATTCTCCCCTCGAATGTTGAACCGCTATGATCTTCTCTTTTGACAATATAGATCAGAAACAATAACGATCTTCAAAATTGATCTTCAGCAAACTTTTTCTTCAAAGGTAATCTTTATCAGCAAAACTTGTAGAAAATTTGATCTTCACATTCAACAACTCTCAGACATTGTAGCATCGAAATAATCTTTTGTAATCATCTCTAGTCGCACTCCTTTTGAGTCTTTTGCCATCATTGAAGTTACTCCCCCCTTGATCTTTACAACAAATTCCTTCCCTTTAATATGTTCGGAATTGGACATTTCATTCTTTATTACATACTCCCCCTTATGATAAAATGAGAATCATTACATCATACACAAGAATGAATGAAATTTTTCACGAAAGCCATCAATTCATGAAATTGTAAGTAGATCTTTTCAAATCCACTTGTTTAATCTTTTCAGATTAAAGTAATGAGAAGATAACAGCCAATTTCAACGTATGAAATTGTTTTCAATCTTATAAAAAGATTGGCCTGTGAGTATAACAGATATACTCAGTACAACAGAATGTACTGTATACATGAGAATTTTTGAGGCTCTTCTCACCAGGTCTTCAATTCAATCATCGATAGCTTAATAATAGCATATCTATGAATGTTTTGGCAAAATAACATATGTTGGGTCACCTATTGATTTGGTGATGACCCACTGATCTGTTCCTCTACCTTAGCAACACTTAGTAGTTGTTGGTTCTTTGTATATTGGTGTCTTCGTACATACTTAAGCCATTGGCAAAATCGAAGACTACCCGATGTGAA